CTCCCCCCCAGCAGAGCCCCCAGGCTGGTTTCTGGCCGCTCGCTCTGCCAGGCAGGTGCCTGGCACTAGGCAGGAGGTGTTGAGCCCAGGGCAGAAGGCAGGGCACAGGGCAGCTGGCTTGTCCCACAGTGACCATGGTGTCTCCAGGACAGACCCAGCAAGTCTCAGCTGGAGAGGGTGAGAAGAAGGTGTCCGTGCTGCCTGTGGGAGGAAGGCTGGGAGAGAGTGGGAGGATGAGGCAGCAGTGAGGAGAAGCAGAGATGTGCAGTGCCCTGGGGTGCTGGGTGGGGAAGGGGTGGCTTTGCTGGCACAGCTGATCAGAACAGGTTCCCCACAGCCAAGGGACACGGTCCTGGCAGTGTGTCATTGAAGGGGTGTAGGGGATCCTGCTGCAGGCCAGACGGTGGCATGTGGTGTCTCCAGGACAGACCCAGCAAGTCTCAGCTGGAGAGGGTGAGAAGGTGTCTGTGCTGCCTGTGGGAGGAAGGCTGGGAGAGAGTGGGAGGATGAGGCAGCAGGGAGGAGAAGCAGAGATGTGCAGTGCCCTGGGGTGCTGGGTGGGGAAGTGGTGGCTTTGCTGGCACAGCTGATCAGAACAGGTTCCCCACAGCCAAGGGACACGGTCCTGGCAGTGTGTCATTGAAGGGGTGTAGGGGATCCTGCTGCAGGCCAGATGGTGGCATGTGGTGACTCCACGGGCCACCCCTTCCTGCCCAGGGCCACCACTGTGCTGCCTGGTGTGTGTCTGGGAGGTCACGGGGGGGTTGGCAGCAGGGGCTGATCCGGAGGTGTCCAAGGGAGGTGGCCGTGCTCTGACAGGGTATCCTCTCCTTGCCTTTCCAACCCCCAGGAGAAGATGGAATATGCCTTCCTGATCTTCTTTGCCATTGAGGCCATGCTGAAGATAATTGCCTACGGGTTCCTCTTCCACACGGACGCCTACCTCCGCAACGGCTGGAACGTGCTCGACTTATCCATCATCTCCCTCTGGGGTAACCTGGGGGAGCTGCTCCTGCCCAGCTTGCCCAGCCCTGCTCCACAGCCCAGGAGGGGCTGCAGTGGGTTTGGGGGCAGCTCACAGACCCAGTTCACGGCCTTCTCCCGGGAGCCCTCTTTGCCATGCCCTGATTCCCCTGGGATCCTCTCGGATTCCTGTTTCTGCCTGTCCTGCTCCTTAGTGCCTCTGAGGCTGCTTGCCCTGGGCAGTGGGAGTGGCAGAGGGTCCCAAAGGGTTTGGCACCCGGGGGGGTGGGAGTGCCCTGGCTGCTCAGCAGTGAAGGTGCCACCCAGCAGAGTGATGCCCAGCCACAGGCACACCCCAGACTGGCACTTGGGCACGAGATGTCCCCTGGGTCAGGCTGAGGGTGGCCAGAGAGCCCCGTCCCTCGCTTCCCCTCCTGCAGATCTCTGAACCTCAGCACTGATCTCTCATTCTCCACCCTCACGCTCTTCTCTTTCTCCCTGCCCTTCCCCCTGCCTCTCCCCTGGCTCTTGCAGGCTGATCACCATGACCCTGGAGCAGGTCAACGCGAGGCAGGCGGGCACCTCGGGGGGCAAGGGCGGCTTCGACGTGAAGGCGCTGCGAGCGTTCCGCGTGCTGAGGCCCCTGCGCCTGGTCTCTGGAGTGCCAAGTGAGCCCCTGCCCAGCCTGGGGGGACAGGAGGGGTCCTGGCTTTAAGCTAGCAAAGGGCAGATTTAGGTTAGATGTCAGGAAAAAGTTCTTCAGTCTGAGGGTGACAGATCCCTGGAACAGGCTGCCCAGAGAGGTGGGGGAGGCCCCATCCCTGGGGACATTCAAGGTCAGGCTGGATGAGGCTCTGAGCAGCCTGACCTAGTTGGAGATGTCCCTGCTTGTAGCAGGTGGGTTGGACTAGATGACCTTTGGAGGTCCCTTCTAGCCCAGACATTCTATGATTCTATGGTTCTATGATTTCTTGTTGCTGCTGGACCAAGCCCAGCCACAAGGTGGGTGTGGAGGAGCCACAGGTTCTTGCTCATCCCTGCAGCTCACTGGGGATCTGCAGGTCAGCACACATACAGCTCCCTCCAGGCCTCAGTGTCTGCACCTTTGGGTGGCCAGCGTGCAGAGGGCCAGGACTTCACGTGAGCTTTTCAGGGCAGAGATTTCCCTCCCCCTTAACTCAGGTGAATACAGCCAGGAAGGACCAACAGAGCAAGTGGAGGGGCATGAAGCAGCCTCCAGCACCACCTGGTGCCTGGCTGTGCTGGGACCTTCCAGTGCTTGTACTGGTGGGTAGAGGAAGGAGTTTTTGTTTCAGAGGGGTCAGTCCCAGCTCACCTGCACCTCTCTTCCCTTGGCACGGGGCATCGCAGGGGGCCTGGCAGGATTGCACAGTGCACCCAAAGCTGTTTAGGAAGTGGTTGACCTTCTTCTCCTTCTCCTTGGGGCAGGTCTTCAGGTCGTCCTGAACTCCATCATCAAGGCCATGGTGCCCCTGCTCCACATCGCCCTGCTGGTGCTCTTCATGATCATCATCTATGCCATCGTTGGGCAGGAGCTTTTCAAGGGCAGGATGCACAAGACCTGCTACTACCTCGGGACAGGTGGGGCAGTAGGGCAGAGGTGGCTCTGCGTGGCTGCTGCGGGCTCCACAGAGGCTCTGGGGGGGTCTCAGACAAGTCTGGTCTTGCCAGCCTCAGACCTGGGGGGTTGGTGGGAGCTAAGGGTGGGAGCTAAGGGTCTAAGGGTGGGAGCTCAGGTGCAGCACACAGCGTGGTGACACTTCACGCCATGAGGAGGTGGTGGAGGGGCCCCTTTTGGAGAGCTTGTGCAGGAGCCTGCGCGGTGCTGGGCCCTGCCCTGCTCGGTCCTGGGCTCACGCCACGTTTTTCCCCCTCAGATGTGATAGCCACGGTGGGCTCGGAGAAGCCGGCGCCCTGCACCACCGCTGGCCACGGCCGGCAGTGCAGCATCAACGGCACCGAGTGCAGGGGGGGCTGGCCCGGGCCCAACCACGGCATCACTCACTTCGACAACTTCGGCTTCGCCATGCTCACCGTCTACCAGTGCATCACCATGGAGGGCTGGACACAAGTCCTCTACTGGGTAGGCTCCAGCAGCTTGGGCTGGGTGCCCGGCTCGGCAGAGGTGACTGCTGGTCCTGCCTGGGCGTGGGGAGTGCCCTCCAGCCAGCACACAGCAGGGTTTGGGGCTCTGCAGCAGTGAAAGATGTCCTGACCCCACCACACTGTGGTGCTGCACATCCCAGAGTGCACCAGGCACGTCTCTGCAGGTGGAGACACCTCTGAGACACCTCTGGAGAGCTGTCCTGGCTCTCCAGGTAGACAGGGAAGTGCTACAGCTCCACCTTTGTGACAGGGCACAGGCCAGGCTGACTGGTGGATGCTTCTCTAGCAAACCCCCACGTTTGGCATTCCTCAGGAGACTCTTGCTGAGGGTTAGGCATGGCACTGATGTTTCAATCTGCTCCCAAAATGCCTGAGTCTGGCTTTACCTCCACTAAAATCACAGAGCCATAAGGAGACAGGGCTCAGAGTCAGGTTTATCTGCTGCCATCCCAAGCACTCACTCCCGGCGGCTGTTGAGGGGTCCTGAGGGGAGCTGGCAGCAGATGGTGTGTTCAGGATGTTCCTCTGCTTCTCTCCTTGCCAGGTGAATGATGCCATGGGGAATGAGTGGCCCTGGATCTACTTTGTCAGCCTGATCTTACTCGGCTCCTTCTTTGTTCTCAACCTGGTGCTGGGGGTGCTCAGTGGGTGAGTCCCAGCCTCTCCTTTCTCTTTGCCAGCAGAGCAGCAAGAGTGATCAGTGGGTGGACTTTGGCTGCTGTTAACTCTGTGAGAAGAAAGCCTGAAGAGTTTTTTGCTCCCTATCCTCTCCCATTCCTCTCCCTTTCTTTTTGCCTGCTTAGAAACCCTGAGCCTTGAGTTACTTTTGTGTTCGTGTCCGTGACTGTCAGAGGCTTTAGCTCAACACCTAACACAGGAATCTTCTCCCTGGAGCACAGGCAGCCGTGGGCAGACACACCCCTGGAACAAGTTTTTAGGTGTTTTAGGGTGTTCTGCCAGCACTGGCAGCAAAAGCAGCTGAGCAGGGAGCTCAGAGCACCAATCCTCCCTCACAGCTCTTGGTCAAGGCACCCTTGTCACTGATGTCACCAGTGCTGCTGTCCTGTTGTGAGCCCACACGATTTCCTTGTGGCCAGCCTCAGGAAAACACCTTTGATACTAATTTTTGACAATTAAGGCTCCATCAGTCTCATCCAAATACACCAAGAAGCAGTTCTCAGCCTGGGGACAGTGATGGGGACACTTCTGTGCCAGTGCTGGCACCTGTGGTAGTCACAGGCATGGAGTTGGCTGTGACAGCAGGGTGAGCTGGACAGTAGTCATCTGAGAGGAACCTGCAAGGCCTGCAGGAGTTCCTGAAATATATTTTGCCAATGGAGCTGAAATGTGCTTGAGATGAGGAGAATCCAAACAAGGCCTGACAAGTCGTGGGGCTCAGTGTGGCTGATGATTGTTACAGTGTCTGAGACCTCTTGCTAATGCCTGGTAACACCAGGCTGGCTGGGCAGCAGATCTACAGTCCTGCCAGGTACCTGAAAAGAAATTCCTTGAGATGTAATGAGCAGAGTGGGACTCCCTGCACTGGCAGAGCTGACTTTTCCATGTTACCATGAAAACAGTCTCCTGTTGACCTGCCATGTGCTGAGCTCACCTTCCCTGCCTGGAGACCCTGGGGCAGCTCTCAGCCCCAGAGATGGGTGAGACCCCACTTGCTGTAAGCCTCAGCAGGGCTGGAGATCTCCCACAGCCTCCAACATCTCCCACTAGCTGGGCTGTCCAGCCACAGCCCCCTGCAGCAGGGAGCTCCCCGGGGTGGGGAGGAAGCCCTGCCTGCCCTCAGCCATCAGACGGTGCTCCCCCGGGATCTCACACCACGGAACAGGGCCAAGAAAGAGGACAGTCCCTGGCAGCACCAGGTGGTGGGGTCTTTCAGGGTGTTGTCTCTCCACAAGGACTGGCCTTGAGCTCCTGAGTCTCCCTCTGCTGCTTGCCTTGCCCAGGGAGTTCACCAAGGAGCGGGAGAAGGCCAAGTCCCGCGGAACGTTCCAGAAGCTGCGGGAGAAGCAGCAGCTGGAGGAGGACCTGAAGGGCTACATGGACTGGATCACCCACGCTGAGGTCATGGACAGTGACAGGGCCAGGGGAGAAGGTACCAGCTCTGCTCGGCTAAAGACCCTTGGTGGGACGCTTGGGTTCCTCACAGTGTCAGCTTTAAGGGGTGAGAGTGACTGGGGAAGGGGGTGGGCATGCAGGCAGCTAGCCAAAGGCTCAGCAGGACCTGGGGGGCTCTGCCACTGAGCTGCTGTAGCTGCTCTGCCACCCTGCCTAGTGAAATAGCTCCTGGTGGAGGCTGCCCTGGGAAACAGTGGGAAAGAAACAACCCTGCCACGCCTGTGGGCAGTGCTCGTACAGCTCCCTGCTCTTCAGCATTGCTCCAGCCACACCTCACCCCAGTTGTCTCTGTGCTGGGAGCATCTTGCACTGAGGGAGCCACGTGCACATGCTGGCTCTCCAGGCTGCCCCTCTGCCTTGCTGCAGGGCAGATGTTCCTGCTGCCTCCTACTGGGTTTGCACCTGACACTCAAAACCTCCCCAACCTCTCGCTGCTGCCTCCCTGGGAGGACATTTCTTGATTTCCCTCCTGCTAGGGGAGCTCTTGGTGCAGGAAGAGGAACCTCCTGGAGAGGTTCCCTCCCACACGTTCTTCTCAAGGGCTCCAACAAAAGCCTGGGGTGTTGTTCCCTCCTTAGGTATGATGCCGTCGGATGAAGGGGGGTCAGAAACAGAGAGCCTGTATGAAATTGAGGGCATGAACAAGTGGATTCTCTTCTTGTAAGTGTGCACTGCTTGGAGCATCTGCTGCTCTGCGGGCAGCCTCGCGCCGTCTCTCACCTGCTCTCCTGGCTGGGCTGGGACTTGTGTCAGCCACCAGTTTCTGGGGGAGAGCCAGGGGCTGTGAGCTCAGGGGGAGGTGCAAACACTGTGGACAGTAAACAGGGAATTTTGCTCTGGTACTGGCAAAAAGTCACTTCAAGGTGAACAACCTCTTCACTTTGGGAGCAGGCCCCAAGTATGAGAATCAGCCCATGCAGCGTGGCTTGTGGTTTAGGAGCTGGGCCTGCAGCAGCCAAGCAGAGGTGTGTGCAGGCCACAAAGGAGCCAGGAGATGCTTGTGTGAATGAATTGGGGTGTCTGAGTGACTGCACCAAGGCAGGGGCAGGGTTGTGTGCCTCAGCCCTTTTTGGGTTAGGCCTCTGGGGAGGGGAGCAGGGCTGGCTTTGGCATGCAGCTGGCAGGCAGAGCCCTGAGGACCAGAGCCCAGGGCCCATGCCCAGCCCTGCTGACCCTGTGGCATCTCCCCAGCCGTCAGTGGAGGCGCTGGAACAGGCTGTTCCGGAGGAAGTGCAGGGATGTGGTGAAGTCCAAGTTCTTCTACTGGCTGGTCATCCTGCTGGTGGGGCTGAACACGCTCTCCATCGCCTCCGAGCACCACTTCCAGCCAGAGTGGCTGACTCGAGTGCAAGGTGAGCAAAGAGCCCCGGGGAGAGGGAGGGCCCAGGACACCCCCCAGCCACGGCGTGGCACGGGGGCTGTGAGCCTTCCACACAAACTCCACCTGCCCCTCAGGCTGTGCACGTCACCCCCACACTCCTGGTGCACACTGTCACCCCTGTGCAGGGTGTGTGTCCTCCAGGCTCTGGGTTTGCCTGGTGAGCACACGTGGAGTGTGCCCCAGTCCCTGGGGAGCGTGTGCAAGCCCATCACCCTTCTCCTCCTCTTCCTCTCCTGGGTGCTCCCCAGAAAACAGCATTAGCTGCAGCCCTGGGGCTTGGTGGGTGTGGGTGGCACATGGACAGGGCTGCCCTTCCTCCTCCCCTGTTCTGTCC